TTGAAGGAATGAACAGCTTCACTTTTCTCGGTTCTGAGTTGAGCCAATTCTTTCTCCAGTTCTTCATTTGCCTTCTTCAGCTCATCTCTCTCAGCTAACACCTGATTATGCTGCTGAATAGGCACGGTGGTAGGCTCTTCAATCACTGGAGGGATTTTTGGCTTGGCAGGAGGAAATAGCATCCCTATAGCATCTACTCTGGCTCTGATCCAAGTCACATATGGAGCGTAGGCTTGGCTATTACTTTTCCCCAGCAACGGCTTTCCCCGCTTACAGATGCCATTCCAAGCGTGCTGCAGCTTAGATAACATATCCCCCTCTAAAAGATCAGTGAGGTACAGAGATTCCTGCACCTCTTCATCCTTCGGCAGAGCTCTCAAAGCATAAGTAAATTTTCGGACCAGCAGAGATGGATTATAGTTGATACAACCCTTCCTGCCTATCAAAGGCACATTCGGAAACCCACTGCAGCTGAAGATAATCTCAGTACCCAACCTATCTCTATCGAACCAGGCAATATCCTCCGCTGACAGACTCATCAGGCGCTCAGACCACTCAGTTGTGGCTGCAGACGAAGCAAAGGGACCCTTCTTGGGTAGGTGACTATCAAGCCATCTATAGAGTAGGGGCACACAACACGAGACATTCTTACCCCTTCTATTCTCGTTCTTGTAGCGGACGGAATGGTAAACATCTCCTATCAAGGTAGGGACTGGGTTCCCTGATGCAAAGATGTGAAAGGCGTCGAAGTCTACAAAGTCGGGCATATTGGGGAACAAAAATGATGTTGTATATGCACAGAGCAAGGATGGTGTTGAACACGATCCAACAACCGTCTTTGGCGCACTGCTGAGCTTTTCCCACTAAGAACTACAAGGAGAAACCGGGAACCCTATTCCAACTAGACAAGACCAACACGGAGGCATCCAAATGAAGTGAAGGAGCTAGACTAGCTAGATTAGGCTCAGCATCCATATGAACAAAAGGCATCAAACTCTTGATAGGCACACCTAACAAATCAGCATACTCCTCTAGTGTGGGTGCGAGAATAAAGTCTTGGAAAGTAAAGCATCTCAAAGGAGGATCGTGGAATTGCAGCAGGGCGTGCAACCCATTCAACTCAAACACAGAGGGTTTACGAACCAGGCTGAGCAGTTTATCGTAAGACTTCCTGAATTCATCTCTCACAGAATCATCTGCCAAAGCAATCAAACCGGTCAGCTGAACAACATCAGGAGTAGGGAGTTTGTAGGCCACAGTCTTCCTCAGAGACCCCATAGTAGCACAATAGAAGGCAAGAAAACCTGAATCGGGGGAAACGGTACCTGTAACACAGACACACGTTAATGAAATGCAAATGAGTATGCAAAGCAATTCAAAATGCAATCATGCAGCAGGAGATCAAGACAACTGTGTTGTTGAGGAGATGAAGGTGAAGATTATGTATCGACAAAACCACAGTACTGCTCTGTCAAGAACAACCACTATCTCTGATAATAAGAAAACCCTAGTATCGGACCATAAATCTGCTCTGTCGAGAACAAACGCACATCTGATAATAAGGACCTCTGATACAGGATCATGAATCTGCTCTATCAAGAACAATCACACATCTGACAATAAGGACCTTTGATACCAACAAAACTGATTCACTATCAAGAAAACCAGGTAGTCTGAAGGTTAAGGTTTCCTGCAACAAACCCGACCCTGCTCACAGGTATGGACCTAAACTGACACAAGTTCGGCATCCTATGCGGTCATCAGCGTCACAGACATTCAAGAGGGGTGATACGATACCCAGAAGGTGTGGCATCACCGTCTCCTAAAGCGGCCTCACTCAGCTGAATTCCAAATGATCGGTCCCCAGAGTCGACAATCCTCTAAACCAACAACCCCTCAGGCCCAAAGGGCCAGAAAAGAAGTCAACCGGGAGAACCTCATCTGAGTGTGGATTTCATGAGACACTAGTGCCTGCAAAGCAAGCACGCGCTCACTAATTTCCACAACTAATGCTAGGTACACTCAAGCCTGGGTCTGGCTTCTCACTCATCAGAATGCCCCTCCCACAACAGCACAGATAATCATATCATACTGAAAATAAAGTGCGGGAAATAAAATGCGATAAACAAACACAACCTAACAAGTAAACATACAAGCGCTGGGATTGACTCTCGCAGGGACGTTGGATCCCCAAACTGACTCGCATAAGGGACGTTGGATCCCAGGAAACTATCAAGCCCCCAGCAGAGTCGCCAGCTGTCGCTTCCACGAAAATAAGGTGTCGGAAAAACAGAAGAGTCGCCATCTTTCGTTATTTATTCCTCAGAGCGGGAAAGGAAATGATCGGAAAAACCTGACGAAAAGGTATAAGACAAGGTCATCGCAACCATTGTCTGGGTTCGGGAGTCAGTTACGCAAGGGGAAGGTATTATCACCCCTCACGTCCATCGTACTCGATGGGATCCACGCTTGTTGTGTTTACCTGACGAGTTTGTTTACTATCTACCTATCAAGGCCGGTTTGAAAAGAAAGGGAAATGACTCGGCAAAGTGTCGCACTTTATGCCTTGTATTCTCATTAGAGAATGAGAAATCAGAGTCAACGTATTTCGCCTAACTACGGGGTACGGGGAAGGTGGCTCGCCAATACATCAGTATTGTGCCTACGTACTCTCAACAGGTATAAGAGATCAGAGCTTACGTAGTTCGGGATGATACGGATTACGGGTGTCGCTACTCGAAAAATGGTGTCGCGCAACGACGGGGAGGCGAAAAGAAAGGACCGAAGAGTCGCCACCGAACTTTATTTATCCCATGTGGGGAAAGGAAAATATCGAGAAAACCTTAAGAAATAAATGGATAAGATGGTCTCGCAACCAAGAACGGGTTCGGAAGCCGGTTATGCGAGGGGAAGGTATTAGCACCCCTCGCATCCATCGTACTCGATGGGAACCTTTTGTTTGTCGACGTGTGATTATATTTGCTAAAATATTATGCTATAAAAAGTGTTCCAAAAGATAGTGAGAAAAGGGTTAGAAATAGGATAGAGAGAGAGAGAAAGAGAGAGAGGGGGAGTGAGAGAAGTAACGGGGGAAGAAGAGAAAGAGCAGACTCGGTAGGACCTCGCGGTCCTATGCCTACGTATTCTCAATAGATGTGAGAAAGTCAGAGTCGACGTAGTTCGGGGCTACGGATATGGGGGGAATATGCTCGGCAAGGATTGTGGCCCTTGTGCCTACGTATCTTTACTTGAAAAAGTAAAGAATCAGAGCAGCCGTAGTTCGGCCTACGGTGCGTTGATGTTTTGTGGATGATGCTATCGTGCGCATTCTAGCAGTTTAGGTGTTTTGCTGCTCGCTCGTTTGGAGACTTATGCGTACCTGTTTGCGGTAGAACGGACGTAACATATCCTTTGGGAGACTGGTTTTCACTATGCGAGGCAAGGTATCATGTTTGATTGGTTGAGATTGTTTTTGGGGCGAGATAGGTCCTCGGATAGTAACCCTTACAGGTAGTACCCAATTCTTTATCTCAAAGTTTTTGTTGTAAAAAATGTGTGGCGAACGTAGCGTCTTCGTATTGAAAGACGAGTATCAAGACCACACACACTACAGTGAGTATCCTGACACTCGGAGAGGAAGAAGACTACACCCAATCCTCTCTCTTTAGTTCAACACAAAGAGAACTTCATTCTCTTATTAAAGTGTTTTTGGTTTTGAATGGTAAGTGCTTTTTGCGACAGAGAACCCTACGGTAAACGTCAGCACTCGGGATAGGAGAAGGCCTACGCCTAACCACTCCACGACCATTCAAGTTTTTGTATGAAAAGGAATTTGAAAATGCACTCGGTACGGGACCGAGGTTTTAGGTGTGAAAGGTTACAGAAGGAAGTTGTGAAAGGAGAGGTGATGGAAGAAGTCGCGTCTTCGTATTGAAAGACGAATATCAAGACCACCCTCACTACAGTGGGCATCCCAACATTCGGAGAGGAAGAGGTCTACACCTAATCCTCTCTTTTTAATTCAATACAAAGAGAAATTTATTTATTATTGAAAGTGTGCTCGGTACGGGACCGGGGTTTTAGGAGGAAAAGTTTAGAAGCGTCTTCGTATTGAAAGACGAGTGTCGAAACCACCCTCACTACAGTGGGCATCCCAACACTCGAAGAGGAAGAAGACTACACTTAATCCTCTCTTTTTAATCCAATACAAAGAGAATTTTATTTACAAGATGGTTTGATAGCGTCAGTGAATCGAATCGGGACAGGAAATGAGGAGAGAAAAGAGGTGGTCTCAGATCCTTCATTTCTCATCAATAATTTGACAGAGGATCGAAGGAAATGTCGTCATCGACCCACAAAGGTAAAATGGGACAAAGTGCCCAATAACAAATGAGAAATGGATTCAACTTTTAAGAAAAATATATATAAAGTATATAAATCCAAAAACTATAAATTAAAAGAAAATATTTATAAAGCTTTAAGTAAAATAAATATAAAATTTATATATACAAACTAAAAAAAACTATTAGAAAAATACATAAGTTAATTAAAATAGAAATCTAACAAACCTTTTTTTAAAAAAAAAATATATTAATAAATTATATTAAAGAAAAACAAGAAATAAGAGGGAGGGGGTAAGCTGAGAGAACAGGGAGTATATGGCCCAGAAATGAAGTTTAAGGAGAGTGAAACCCAACATGGCAAGTGGGGCGCGGGTCAGGAGATCCAATTGGACCTCAATTGACTCGACTCAAACAACAAAAACACAAAATCGGCTGAGATATCCTAGTGAGGGCATTCGTCGTTTTCTTGTTCAAAACCCAAACGAAAATTCATCTCCCATGCGTATTTCTCAAACACACACAGAGGCAAATATCTTGTAAAATTCAAGACTCAAACATACACAAATCGAAGGTCAATACAGAACGGCCAAGAACGGAATCTCGTCAAGCCAAACATGAATTTCAAACATCCACCCTTCGTCAAATTAGATTTCGAGCATGATTCGTAAAATAAATTTTCTGGCGAAGATATCATTGACGATTCAACCTCGAGGTATGCCTTTGAGTCACTCTGCTTTAGTTTCAGTGGATTCTGCCTCTTCTTTATTCTTACACATCTTCTTCTTATTCTCACCTCATCTGACTATGTTCTATTAATTTGGGTTTGCGTGTTGGTGGTGCTCGAAGGAGGAAGATGGGATGGTGAAAGTGGTGATGATGTGAATATGTGTTTTGGGCGAAATGAAAATGAGATTGGGGTTACAGTGAGATCACGGGTTCTGTTTGATGTTAATGGTGAGGGTTTTGGTAATGGTTTCACGATATGTTGGTTTCGAGCTTGTGAAGAACCTCGTTAGTTTCAGAAATTTAATGGTGAGGTTTAAAGTTGAAGATTGGGGATACGAACGGTAACTGTTTCTGTTGTTGGTTCGTTCTTGAGTTTGTTCAGATGGCTTTGAGTGAGGTTAGGGATGAAGATGCAGGTGGGGTTGGTGGAGACGGAAAGGGTTGCGGCTAGGGTTTTGGTTGGAGGCCCCCTTTTATCCACAACAACCCACTGCCTCTCTCTCGCAGGCTTGTCATCAGAAAACAAAGCGACAATAGTTTAAAATTATGAAGACAAAGAAAAAGACAATAGAATACTTACAGAGCTGGAGCGAATCCGACAGGTTCTCACGCTAGTGATGAGGAGTTTGGATGATGCAAAGCTTCTTGTTGCACCGATGCCACCAGATTATCAATACCGAAAGCAGATAAGCTCCTTTTTCAATCTCGCTTTTTCAGTTCTTTATGTGTGTTTTCGTGTTATGATGGTTGACTATGGTGGTTTGTTTTATGACAGTTGAATGGGGAAGAAGGTGAAGATGAATTTGGCGAAGAGCTTGGGGGGCTGTGCAGCAAGAGTTCTAGGTTTTTTTTTCTCTACCAGCCTCCTTTCTGAATGAATAGTAACAAAATATATATGGTGTGAGATTAGGGTTTTCCTCTGTTTGAAAATGCATTCTCTGCTTATCACTTTCTGATGTCAAGACCATGTCCTTCCATTTTAGTAAACTTGGCCCTGCTGTCCTCTGTTATCCTATTTTCTTGTCTTCAAAATTTGTTTTTTATGCTGACTGTATCTTTCTATGTGTTTTTTGTAGGGAAAGTTTTTTATTGATATGAAATTACTGCTGCATAGCTTTATTTTTACCGGAAAACAACCGTTTGGCTTGCTGAAAAACTGATCTCCCCTCATATCATGGCTTGTTCCTTTTTATTATTACCCAAACTGCATCTATATGGTTCAGTAGTGACACCAATTTGCTTGAATCAGAACTATGAAAGCATACAAGTGAATGCATGGGTATTGCTGTCCAGGACCAAGATCAAACCGGTGATGAGAGTCTCCCTTATCAAACTCCCACGCAAAGCTTTTGAAAGGTTCTCGTATGTTCGCGAGTGGAACTGCAATAACACAATCGACGGAGCATCTAACTTCTGGAGGCAGTAGCCCAATTATCTTGGCAGATGGATCAAACCTCAAACGAGCAGAATCAACCTCAAAGAGATATTACTGAATGCCACCGGCCAACATAAAAAACTCTTCTCTACATTTCTGGTTACTAAGTGCCTTGTTGTAACTTTGAAACTAATCTTATAAGATAACTTCTGATACTTCCTTGTAAATTTCAATGTATCAGGCTCAACTTTAACTTCAGCACCTTTGAATGGTGTAACAATCACACGATATTTCGAAACAGCAGGTCCAACATTGGTGACAGTTCGATGAATCGTTGATGCCGAACCGGTTGTTTTCTCAGGAAACACTACTGATATAGCAGGATAGTTCAAGTCACCAACATTAGCAAGAGTGTGTTTACAAGTTTTGTTTGAATGTTTAGAAAAAATTGCTAACTCTGAAGCACTCAGTTTCTGTTTGCAAAGAAACTCGAAGTAGTCTTACGGTTTGATATCGTATACTAAACCTGGTTCAAGAGCTTTTCTAGGATTAATGTGACCGGCACCGTGATCGTAAGGAGTTGAAAACTCGGCAGAAGAAGCGTCTCGAAGAGGTTTAATACTATTATCATGAACATAAGCTGTTGTCATGATTGCAGATTTTATAGCAGCTGGACTCCATTCAGGATGTTTAGCTTTGATCATCGCCGCGATTCCACTTACGTGAGGACACGACATGGAAGTTCCGGAAAGGATGTTGAATTTCACTCTTCTGTGATCTGTTGGTAAGCTTGATGGACCTGTAACACCACTCCATGCGGCGAGAATGTTCACACCAGGAGCTACAATATCGGGTTTGAGAATTTCGAGCGTAAGAAAGTTAGGCCCTCTCGATGAAAATGCAGCTACTATAGGAGATGGTTTGATGCCTAATCTTGTGTTTAGAAAAGCTAATGTTGCGGTTGGTTTTTTTTGTTTGTTAACACATATTGTTTGATGCTTTTGCCTTCTTGTTGAGATTTTTGATATGGAATTTAAATGATGATGAACTCTAAACCTCAATTGTGAATTTTTGAACAAATGGCATGGGCATATTAACCTGTCTTTGGGGTTTATGAATTATGGACTTTGTTGGGATTTAAAAACCAAATGCTATCTACACTACACCCGAACTCTTTCACGAACACCACCTTGAGATGAAAGAATTAAAATGCTCCCACTTTGAACATTACAGGCCGAATGAGCATATATTGAGATTAGAGATCATGACTTGAGATAAAAAGCCTCAGTTCTCATTCCAAACGGACCTTAATGATTATCACCCTGAAACTATCGATAGTATGACAACTTGATTTATACCCGGGGAATTTGTATTGGCACATGACTTTCACGATACATACTCAAATGCACCACGGTTTAAAGGTAGTCCAGCTATGAAACCCTCCGAGTTTAGTCAGCAAGCCAAGCAACATATTTTTGGATTTTTCAGTGGATGAACAAAGGAGAACCAAACAGGTAGGACAAAATTTGGGTATGACAACGGGAATTCAGATTCATCTGTTTTATCGAGTAGGGTTAACAAACAGTTCCAGCAGTTTGGTGTACGCAGCTTGACCCTTGGAGACTTAGGCGTTACCGTTTGTGGTAGAACTGGGAGTTAACGACACTCTTTTCTTCAGAAAAGCTTCCTTTGAATTATGGGCCCACAGGGCAAAAAGGTTTGGAGTTTGTTTTCTGTCTTTTACGGAAGAACTGTTTTTTATGGATGTTTGCAACCAATATCACACTAGAGACTATGACCTGAGAGTGAATGCGTCGCATGTCACCCAAAGGCTGCCATACTAAACATCCAGACTGTTGAAAAGAAACTCTCCAACAATCCTTTCTCAGATAGCTTAAGGCTAGTAACGTACGACATCAGTTAACCTTTATTACTGTATCTTAATTTGTTTTGAGATGAGAAGAGAGAACGAGCTGGTTCAACTAAGGGAAGACTATCAAGTCCTAACAGTTGTCATGCCAAGGATTCATCCTATGGTTGAGGTTTGAAACAGGGAACTCCTAGAAGTTATCATGCATAGGTTTCAACCTAAAGTTCTAATCATCACTTCCTTATCAAAGGAATTGAGATTCCTAGGGGATCATGTCAATGATAAACAGAAACAGATAAAGCATCAGCTTAAACAGTAAACAGTAAACGACTATAAAATGCATGCAATGCAAGTGAGGGAGGAAAGGTGTGTGGGGCATCAGCCTCCACAAGCTCATCTCAACCTCAAGCCAAGATATGAATAACTGCAATCATACAGAAGAAATAACATGCTGTCAAGCAAAATAAGAGCAACTGTAATCATACAAAGGAAATGAAATGATAGGCCATCAAGCAAGCAACAAACCACATAGGCAAGGGAGTTGGGCTCTACCGAATACCCGCAAGCAAAGCCATACAGTAAAAATACAAGCAGAGGGAGCAACTCAACCTCTAGTGGAATCATGCTCCTAGTTTACATCAGTCTAGATATGAACTTATTCTAATGCATCAAGCAAATCAAACAAGTCACATTCATATAGTTGCACAGAAAGAAAACAGACAGGAAAGAAAGCAGATCAACAGCTCCCACAGCTTCACAGCAAAGCTCTTCTGACAGCAGCTCAGTCTTCAGTCTTCAACTGCTCCTCAAGGCTATCATCTCCAATAGCAAGTGTCAACTTGCTTCTTCAAGCTTTCAATACATCAAGCATAAGTATCAACTTATTCTTTCTTCTTCAAGCCTCAGCTCTTTCTTCAATCTCAGCTTGATCTTCTTCACACAAGTATCAACTTGGTCTTCTTGATCTTCAAGCTTCAGCTTCAATGGCAGTCTTCAGATACAGAGAAGTATCAGCTTCTGGCCTCTTCAGTCTTCTTCAAGCAAGGAACTCCATCCTCTAGCAAGGGAGATAGATTCATCTAACAAGAGCAAAGTTTGGATGATTGGTAGCAGAGTGAAGACCAAAGGTCACCACTAAGCATCCTATCATCAGAGAAAGGGACTCTCAAAGGTTCTACCAGCTTGTAAAGAGCCACACATCCTACCAAAGGAGGGATGAGGCCTTTACAAGGGGACCTTACATCATAGGGAAGAATGGAAGTAATCAACATCTTCCATGTTTATGAAGGAAGAGAATCTATCTAGAAGCTCTGCCTACAAACCCTAATCTTAACACCTAATCAACACTACACCAAAAGAAAGGAAGATCTCCACATCCAAGCTTCTTCAAGCACTCCAATGCATCTTCAACTCTCCTTCATCCTCAACCAAGGGCAAAAACAACACAAGCTTACTCTAAGGGAACTTAAGGGGTTAATCTAGTCAAACTAGTGCATTAGAATCATCCAAAGTTAGCACCTAAACTAAAATCAAACAAAAATAGTAAACTACATTGTAAATTCCTACAAAAATTCATAAGGGATCCTAATTCAATCATGAATCTACCATACAAAATTCAGAGGTTGAATCATCCACCAAGTTCTAGATATAAAACCTAAATCATAAGGTATTAACCATAAACCCTAAAAAGGGATCTCCTAAAGTTTCAACTTAAAAACACTACCTAATTTCATCACAAAAATGTGAGAAAAATCTAGGGGGAATATGCATATCTATGCTAGCTACACACAAAAAAACAAGGCAAGAATCATCATCAAATGATCAAACCAAATTCAACAAAATAAAGTATCAACCATGATTATTTTAACATCAATTAAAATTCAACAAATGCTAATAAAATCAAAAATGCATGAAATGTTAATATTTTTTTATCTAAAAAAACTAGATTCAATCATGCATACATGGAAAAAATAATGAAATTAATAGAGTCATTTTTAAATTTTGCATGAATTATTTACTAAACTATGTAAAATGAAGAAATTAAA